CTAAGCCGGTTAAACAGATGATGGCGAACCTACCTGCCGAGCGTATTGCCGACAACAAGCCACCCTTTACGTTCGTTGGTGTGGACTACTTTGGGTCTATCGATGTGAAGCAAGGAAGAAGTAGGGTAAAAAGATACGGGTGTATCATTACCTGTTTGGTAAGCAGAGCAGTTCACTTGGAGTTGTCAAGGGGCCTTGATACTGACTCTTTTATTAATGCCTTGCGAAGATTTCTTGCCAGGAGAGGACAGCCTGAGAAGATGTACAGTGACAATGGGACAAACTTTCATGGTGGAGAAAGGGAGTTGAATGAAGCTGTTAAGTCATTTAACAACAGTAAGATTGAGACGTTTTGTCATAATAAAATGTTCCAATGGCACAGCGCAAGTCATTTTGGGGGAGCGTGGGAGAGATTGATTAAGTCTGTCCGTAGAATTATGCATGGGGTGTTGAGGCAGCAGACAGTTGGCGAAGACGTTCTAGTTACCGTCCTGACGGAAGTAGAATCCATTCTTAACTCTAGACCACTTACAGAAATATCTCAAGATCCAAGAGATGAAGAACCGATAACACCAAACCACCTATTGCTTCTTAGGAAAGGTCCCAATGCTCCTGTAGGTAATTCCATAGATAGATCAGCATCTTATGGGAAGAAACGTTGGTTGCAGGTCCAGTACCTGGCTTCATTATTTTGGACGCGATGGCGTAAGGAATATCTTCCGCTGCTACAGAAAAGAAATAAGTGGACTACGCCTAAGGAAAACGTGATGGTCGATGATCTAGTACTTCTAGTTGATGAGACGACGCCCAGAGGTAGATGGCCTATGGGCAAAGTAGTTCAAGTGTACAAGAGCAAAGATGGCCGTGTACGAAGCGTAGATGTTCGAGTAAACAATAATGTATTAAAGCGTCCAGTCGTGAAAATCTGCATCATATACCGATCCTCTATAGCTAAAGTGTAAAATTCCCTTTGAATTTTACAGGGGGTGTGTTAGAGGTTTCATAAGGTACTTTAGAGGGCGACATCGTGTGTCGTCACTTGTCACGTGATTATGCGTGACATCTTTAGCTTGGGCATTGGCTTGGGTCAGTGGCCATCGAAAGAAGGGTTACAAGCAAGTTACTCGGACTACACCTTTTGAAGGCACTCTCGAAACCACTGTACCACAAACTCCGACCTTCGGCTTCCATATGCCCGAGACTATGAGAACAACCAAAAATTCATAAAGCGGACATTCCACTACGGCCCATCGTTTCTTCACGAGGATCACCAACTTACCCTCTCGCCAAGTATCTTGCCAGGATACTGTTTCCACTGGTAGGAAACACTGGTCACCATGTAACGAACTCTCAACACTTTGTGAAGACCATCCGGGATGTTTACGTCGAATCTACTGACACTCTTGTTAGCTTCGACATCAAAACACTATTCACCAATGTACCTGTCAAGGAGGTTTGTCTTATAGCCAAACACCGTCTAGAAGAGGACCACACTCTCCAGGAAAGAACAGATCTAAACCCTCAACAGATTTACGATTTACTTTTACAGTGTTTAGTCTGCACTAATTTCAAATGGTGCGACCAGTTTTTCGAACAAACAGAGGGCACGGCCATGGGATCGCCTTTATCCCCAGTCATTGCCAACATCTTCCTCGAAGAGTTTGAACAACTAGCACTTCTTTCAGCCACCAAACAACCAAAATTCTGGGCACAAATCAATCATGTTTACCATGGAGGAGGAACACAATCGTTCTTTACCCTTTCTTGATGTTTTGGTAAGCAGACAGGACGCAGGGACTTTATCACATGCAGTCTATCGCAAACCAACATACATCGACAGATATCTAAACAAACGCTCATTTCACCATCCGTCCACCAAGAAGAGAGTTTGTAACACACTCATCAGAAGAGCACATTGCATCAACGACCACAACTCCATCCGGAAAGAAGTGCAACATGTTAAGGCAGCTCTTAAACTTAATGGTTATACCACGAGAGACATTGCTACACCCAGACCAAGCAATAGGCTAGATAATGCAGAATTCTTGATGTTTTGGTAAGCAGACAGGACAGTGTTTAGTCTGCACTAATTTCAAATGGTGCGACCAGTTTTTCGAACAAACAGAGGGCACGGCCATGGGATCGCCTTTATCCCCAGTCATTGCCAACATCTTCCTCGAAGAGTTTGAACAACTAGCACTTCTTTCAGCCACCAAACAACCAAAATTCTGGGCACAAATCAATCATGTTTACCATGGAGGAGGAACACAATCGTTCTTTACCCTTTCTTGATGTTTTGATAAGCAGACAGGACGCAGGGACTTTATCACATGCAGTCTATCGCAAACCAACATACATCGACAGATATCTAAACAAACGCTCATTTCACCATCCGTCCACCAAGAAGAGAGTTTGTAACACACTCATCAGAAGAGCACATTGCATCAACGACCACAACTCCATCCGGAAAGAAGTGCAACATGTTAAGGCAGCTCTTAAACTTAATGGTTATACCACGAGAGACATTGCTACACCCAGACCAAGCAATAGGCTAGATAATGCAGAATCGAGAAAGTTTTACCATATTTGGGACAGCATTCACACCGCATTCAATGCATTCTACTACAAGCCGATGTCAAAGTGTTTCACAGCGCACCCAACAAACTACCCCGAACTCTACAAACACACAAGGACAATCCACCAGCAGAGTCAACTAGGAGTTTATCGGATTCCGTGCGAATGTGGGAAAGTTTACATTGGTGAAACAGGACGAGATCTCCGCACTAAGCTCAAGGAACACCAAGGCCATGCCAGGAGAGGGGAACAAGAAAAATTTTCTATAGTCATGCATTCCCACTGTCAACAACACCGTGTACATTGGGACAAAGCCGAACTAATAGCCACCGTACCATCTTGGCACTCCAGAAGGACTAGAGAAGCCATCGAAATTCACAAACACAATACTGTACATCAAGACATCGGATTTGTCATTAGCGATATTTGGCTGTCCATGTTTAATCGGACCTAGCGAAGCCCCACCATTTCCCGCCTTCTGGTACTATGCCTTTGTTTTTAATCGTTCCCACCCACGTTCCCGCCCTGGAACCATGCCTTTGTTTGGGCGTTCTCACCCTTTTGTTTTGTTTTCGTGGACAATGGCTTTTGTTTTAGCCTCTCACTAGCAGTCTTCTCATTGGTCAGTTTATCAATCAAATCACCATTCAGCTTGTGTTTTAGCCTTTCACCCATTGGTCAGTTTACCACCATCCAGCCTCTCTACCCAAACATATAAGTATTTCCCTGTTTGGAGTGTCTGCAGTTATTATTCTCCTGAAGACGAACGAAGCATCTCAATCGAAACGTCGAGACTTTCTCAACAACAACAGTTCTTTTCAGAACTACTTACGTGGTGTACCGCAACCACGACTAGGACTAGAGCCTAGTTGAAATATTTATAAAATTTAACTTTTGTTTTAACTCTGATAGTATTATAGTCTAATGTAATGTATTAATGCGTTTCAACTTGAGAAGGACATAAACAAAATCTCCATGCTCCGAATACTAAGCACAAATCACACATACATATATATATATACATACATATATATACATACATATATATATATATATATATATATATATACATATACATACATATATATACATATACATATACACATATATACACATGTATATATATACATTTATATATATATATACACACATATACACATACATACATACATATACATAATATACATAATTATATACATACATACATATACATATATACATACATATACAGTATATATATATATATATATATATATACATACATATGCATATATACATACATATACAGTATATACATTTACATACATATATATACATATATATATATATATATATACATATTTATATATATATACACACATATACATATATAGATACACACATATATATATACATATATATTTACATATATATATATATATATACATATACATATATATACATACATATATATACATACATATACATATATACATACATATACATACATACATATACATATATACACATATATACATACATATGCATATATATACATACATATGCATACACTGTATATATATATATATCTGTGTGTGTGTCTATGACACCTGTACAGTATTACAGTAGTATGAATACTTGCCCAATATGTTTTTAAATATATACATTACTAGATTAAATAATATACTAGTACATTAATAGATTATAGGCAATGTTTTAATAATTTAATTTTAAATAAATGGAGGAGGTACATGGAACACGCTGTGAAATCTAAATAAAATATCTGGTTATCGACTGGTTATACCATGGATGGAATGGAATGTAATCCATTGAAAATGAAAGGCTCTTTTAATCATGCCTCATCAGTCAATAGGTACACGAACGATCTTCATCATTACCATATGGACAACGGCGTCTACAATTCCAGGTAACGATGACAGTAGCCATCCTATGGTAAATCGCGAAAAAAGAAATCCACTCCGCCCCCATTAAATATGACTGTCGGCCTACATTTTATGTAATTAACATCTGATATATATTATTACATTCTGATATATATATATATATTACGTACCTAGGCCTATGTGGTTGGCTACGGATAGCCAAGTGTGAGTACGAAATGCTAAGTTTAAACCTTAAATTTGATGATGTTATACTGTACAATTGGGTTCCTACTCTACCTACAAACATAAGTTGATTGTTGTTCCCTCTAATGTCTTTTCATTTGCAGAAGGAAGCATGTCAGCCCATTTCCAGTAAATATGAGCACGCTGTGATCGATTTCATTAACAAACCAGAAGAATCGCAGGACTGGATTGCAAAATTTTGTTCTTGGTTACAATCAGAAATAAAAGGCAGATTGGGGATGGACCAAACAAAAAATAATGAAAGGAATTAATGATTTAGTTTTTTAGTTTTTTGAAAAAAAAAAAGGAAGATGGCATCACCTAATATGACATGTGGCAATTTTACCCCACATACGTCAGCTGGTGGGTGGCACATTCAGCGAGCCTGCTTCCATTCTTTTGCTCCAGGCAGAACGACCGAATACTGATGCATCATTTTCATGGCCTTCTACCCCATACTTAACCAGGTGAAACAATTAGTTTGCATCACATAATGCCATCAGAACCGTGCTGCAGAATCCTTTGTAATTAAAAAAGCTGCTGTCACTGTTCTACGGCAGAGTTTCACTGCTCTTCAAAATTCTTAGAAATCGTAAGCCAATCCTCCTCATACCTGGGCATGCTCAGGTATATGGGTTGGAGTGCAATCCACAGAGCAGCACATACTTCACGTATGATGTTAGATACTAAAAGAAAATATATATATATTATCATCAATATTATTCATAATTTTGGATGACTAAAAATTTACTGAATAGTGCCATAGAATAAAATGCTACAAGCAGAACGAGTTTTTAGACAATAATACAGTTCAATAAAATTGTCATTTTTAAAGACTGAATCTAGAAAATTGAGTTTAAATACAGCTATAATATGGTCAGTACTGGAAAAAAAAGTGTGCAAGTTGTCTAGACAAAATAGCTCCAGCACCTTGTTTTGCGAACCCATTTTGGAATAGAATTGAAATTTTATTTTGCCACAATGAACAATTGGATACAGAAAACTAAAATTTTTATCCTGCTTGCCACCAGCAAAAATCTTTCATTACATTTTTTTTTCAGAATTAAAAACGTATTTAACAGATAAAAGCAAACTTACATCGCAGTAAATCAGAGTGTGTAGGCCTACGATCAATCGCTACACACACACACACACAGTTGCTAGCTTCCATGCAAAATAGAGAAATTGTAGTTATCAAAGTTAAACAATTCAACAAAACACACATAGGCTTCAAGACAAGCAACACACATTAGTAGTATTCACACTGTTATTGTTGAAATATGAGTTTGCTAATAAAGAAATGAAACAACAGTATTTTTCGTACTTTTATTCATTGATTGATAAGGAGGTAAAAGTTTCCCCTCTGCTTTTACTGTATGTAAGGGCTTGGGACCTTCAAATACAAAGAGCAAGTATTTGACAATATATCCCCACTTGGGACCTATCAGCAACAGACAGGAAAACTCTTGAAGATCTCATTAGTAGCGCGTTTACGCTCCTGAATTGGAATAGGCGGCGTACAAAGAATTAAACTAATTAGGTGACTGACCATGTGTCTTGATTCTCTAATGGCGTATCATTTTATACGTGTCAATGTTTATGTGAATCAGTTGTCAAATATGTTATAAAAATGTATTAATTTATTATTACTTTTCTTGACTCACCTAGGCCTAAACCTATGCCTAGATAATAATGTTCTACTGGTAAATAATTTGTACAAAACTAACTTTAAAAAAATGTACACTGCCGAAAACCAGTCCTGAGTATATGAGCTATAAAATATTGGAGCTCAAAAAATTGCATAAAATTCCAAATTTGTTTTATTGTCTTATTAAACATGTACCAAAGTATTAGTTCTAGAAGTGGTCAACAAATTGTTTATTTAATGTTATTTTGATAGTTCATTCTATTAAACAATGCATGCACAAATAACTTTGAAAGGCAATTACTCAAAATTATGTTTATCTTAACAGAATGATTGAAAAAGCATCAGTAGAGGATATAGAAACAGGCACTATTCATCAATAATTGAAAGATTCTAAAATATCAAGATTTTTAGTTCCTATTTTGAAGGAGGTTAATTTTTAACTAAATTCAGCGTCACGTTATTATATCGGATTGTGACATACAACGCACCAGGAGAGTAAAAATATTTAGAAAAACATCACTAGTACATTTATAAACATGCAGTATTTAAACAACATTTAGATAACTACTACATCAAAAGATTCTAAAAGCCAAAGATCTTGACTTTCTATCTCGAAAGAGGTTATTAGTTTCTAACCAAATTTACTGTGACGTACATCGCGCCAGGAGAGTGGAAATTAGTGAATAGGATTGGAAAAGCATCATTAGTAAATTTAGAAACATGCTGTATTCATTGAATCAAAATATTTTAAAAGACCAACATTTTGACTTCCTATTTTGAAAGAGAAGATAAATTTTTTAACCAAATTCATTGTGACCTATTATTTTGGATTGTGATGCACTGTACATCATGCCAAAATAGTGCATACGACTGAATATGATTGAAAAAGCATCGGTAGAGAATATAGAAGCAGGCACTATTCATCAATAATCAAAAGATTCTAAAATATCAAGATTTTCGCTTCCTATTTTGAAGGAGGTTAATTTTTAACTAAATTCAGCGTCACGTTATTATATTTGATTGTGACATACAACGCACCAGAAGAGTTAAAATATTTAGAAAAACATCAGTAGTACATTTATAAACATGCAGTTTTTAAACAACATTTATATAACTGCTACATCAAAAGATTCTAAAAGCCAAAGATCTTGACTTTCTATCTCGAAAGAGGTTATTAGTTTCTAACCAAATTCACTGTGACATACATCGCACCAGGAGAGTGGAAATTAGTGGATAGGATTGGAAAAGCATCATTAGTAAATTTAGAAACATGCTGCATTCATTGAATCAAAATATTTTAAAAGACCAACATTTTGACTTCCTATTTTGAAAGAGAAGATAAATTTTTTAACCAAATTCATTGTGACCTATTATTTTGGATTGTGATGTACAGTACGCTACATCATGCCAAAATAGTGCATATGACTGAATGATTGAAAAAGCATCAGTAGAGAATATAGAAACAAGCAGTATTCATCAATAATCAAAAGATTCTAAAAGATCAAGATTTTTGCTTCCTATCTTGAAGGAGTTTAATTTTTAACTAAATTCAGCGTCACGTTATTATATTGGATTGTGACATACAACGCACCAGAAGAGTTAAAATATTTAGAAAAACATCAGTAGTACATTTATAAACATGCAGTTTTTCAACAACACTTAGATAACTACTACATCAAAATATTCTAAAAGCCAAAGATCTTGACTTTCTATCTCGAAAGAGGTTATTAGTTTCTAACCAAATTTACTGTGACGTACATCGCGCCAGGAGAGTGGAAATTAGTGAATAGGATTGGAAAAGCATCATTAGTAAATTTAGAAACATGCTGTATTCATTGAATCAAAATATTTTAAAAGACCAACATTTTGACTTCCTATTTTGAAAGAGAAGATAAATTTTTTAACCAAATTCATTGTGACCTATTATTTTGGATTGTGATGTACAGTACGCTACATCATGCCAAAATAGTGCATATGACTGAATGATTGAAAAAGCATCAGTAGAGAATATAGAAACAAGCAGTATTCATCAATAATCAAAAGATTCTAAAATATCAAGATTTTGCTTCCTATTTTGAAGGCGGTTAATTTTTAACTACTGTAAATTCAGCGTCACGTTATTATATTTGATTGTGACATACAACGCACCAGAAGAGTTAAAATATTTAGAAAAACATCACTAGTACATTTATAAACATGCAGTATTTAAACAACATTTAGATAAATACTACATCAAAAGATTCTAAAAGCCAAAGATCTTGACTTTCTATCTCAAAAGAGGTTATTAATTTCAAACCAAATTCACTGTGACGTTCATCGCACCAGAATAGTGGAAATTAGTGAATATGATTGGAAAAGCATCATTAGTAAATTTAGAAACATGCTGTATTCATTGAGTCAAAATATTTTAAAATACCAACATTTTGACTTCCTATTTTGAAAGATAAATTTTTAAACCAAATTCATTATGACCTATTATTTTGTATTGTGATGTACTGTACATCATGCCAAAATAGTGCATATGACTGAATATGATTGAAAAAGCATCAGTAGAGAATATAGAAACAAGCAGTATTCATCAATAATCAAAAGATTCTAAAATATCAAGATTTTCGCTTCCTATTTTGAAGGAGGTTAATTTTTAACTAAATTCAGCGTCACGTTATTATATCGGATTGTGACATACAATGCACCAGAAGAGTTAAAATATTTAGAAAAACATCACTAGTACATTTATAAACATGCAGTATTTAAACAACATTTATATAACTGCTACATCAAAAGATTCTAAAAGCCAAAGATCTTGACTTTCTATCTCGAAAGAGGTTATTAGATTCTAACCAAATTCACTGTGACGTACATCGCGCCAGGAGAGTGGAAATTAGTGAATAGGATTGGAAAAGCATCATTAGTAAATTTAGAAACATGCTGTATTCATTGAATCAAAATATTTTAAAAGACCAACATTTTGACTTCCTATTTTGAAAGAGAAGATACATTTTTAAACCAAATTCATTGTGACCTATTATTTTGGATTGTGATGTACTGTACATCATGCCAAAATAGTTCATATGACTGAATGATTGAAAAGCATCAGTAAAGAATATAGAAACAGGCACTATTCATCAATAATCAAAAGATTCTAAAAGATCAAGATTTTCGCTTCCTATTTTGAAGGAGGTTAATTTTTAACTAAATTCAGCGTCACGTTATTATATTGGATTGTGACATACAACGCACCAGGAGAGTTAAAATATTTAGAAAAACATCACTAGTACATTTATAAACATGCAGTATTCAACAACATTTATACAACTGCTACATCAAAAGATTCTAAAAGCCAAAGATCTTGACTTTCTATCTCGAAAGAGGTTATTAGATTCTAACCAATTTACATGTACTGTGACGTACATCGCACCAGGAGAGTGGAAATTAGTGGATAGGATTGGAAAAGCATCGTTAGTAAATTTAGAAACATGCTGTATTCATTGAATCAAAATATTTTAAAAGACCAACATTTCGACTTCCTATTTTGAAAGAGAAGATAAATTTTTAAACCAAATTCATTGTGACCTATTATTTTGTATTGTGATGTACTGTACATCACGCCAAAATAGTGCATATGACTGAATATGATTGAAAAAGCATCAGTAGAGAATATAGAAACAAGCAGTATTCATCAATAATCAAGATTCTAAAATATCGAGATTTTTGCTTCCTATTTTGAAGGAGGTTAATTTTTAACTAAATTTAGCGTCACGTTATTATATCGGATTGTGTCATACAACGCACCAGGAGAGTTAAAATATTTAGAAAAACATCACTAGTACATTTATAAACATGTACTGTACATCATGCCAAAATAGTGCATGACTGAATATGATTGAAATAGCATCAGTAGAGA